CAAGCTTGTTACAAATATAGTCAACCCTAGGAGCTCTAAGGGGTTTTGTCAAAATATCAGCCAATTGATCTGCAGAGTTGACAAAGCTTGTTTTGATACACCCTGATACAATCTTCTCTCTAATGAAGTGACAATCAACATCAATGTGTTTGGTTTTCTCATGATAAACTGGATTTGAGGCGATGTGTAGAGCTGCTTGGTTGTCACATATCAATGTCATTTGAGCAACCTTGCCACATTGCAACTCTTGTAGTAAGTGCTTCAGCCACATAAACTCACACGTGGCAAGGGCCATGGCTCGGTATTCAACTTCAGCACTGGACCTGGCAACAACATCTTGCTTCTTACTTTTCCAAGATATGAGATTACCACCAATGAGTACACAATAACCCGAAGTAGAGCGCCGGTCAAACGGACAACCAACCCAATCTGCATCAGAATACCCAATAACCTGAGCATGTCCTCGATCTTCATATAGTAAACCTTGTCCTGGTGCTCTCTTGATATACCTTAGAACCCGAACAACAGCATCCCAATGAGTATCACAAGGATTCTCAAGAAACTGACTCAACACACTAACTGCAAAAGAGATATCTGGTCGTGTGATTGTGAGGTAATTCAATTTTCCAATTAATCTCCTATATCGTTCTTGGTCTAGTAATGACTCCCCCTGTCCTGGTAAGAGTTTAACATTCGGATCCATTGGATTATCCACCGGTCTACAATCCAACATGCCAGTTTCTTCTAAAATATCCAATGCATACTTTCTTTGAGAAATGACAATACCACTACTAGACTGGGCCACTTCAATTCCAAGAAAGTATTTCAGCTTACCCAAATCCTTAGTCTGAAATCGACTGAAGATATACTCTTTCAACTGAGATATGCCCTCTTGATCACTACCTGTAATAACAATGTCATCCACATATACTACAAGGTATATGCATTTCCCATTAGAATGACGATAAAAAATAGAATAATCAACTTCACTTCTAGTCATACCAAACTCATATACCACAGAGCTAAATCTTCCAAACCAAGCCCGTGGAGATTGCTTCAAGCCATATAAGGAACGATGAATTTTACATACCAGACCAGGCTCCCCCTAAGCAACAAACCCAGATGGTTGCTCCATATAAACCTCCTCTTGAAGATCGCCATGTAGAAAGGCATTCTTGATATCCAATTGGTGTAAATCCCAATAATTGATTGCTGCCAAAGATGAAAGTAAACGAACTGATGCAATTTTAGCTACAGGAGAAAAAGTATTAGTGTAATCCAGACCAAAAATTTGAGTGTAGCCTTTTGCCACCAGTCGTGCCTTAGGGCGATCAATCTTGCCATTAGGGCCCACCTTCACAGTATAAATCCACCTACAACCAACAACAGTTTTACCAAGAGGGAGGGGGACCAACTCCCATGTGCCACTAGACTCCAGGGCCTCCATCTCTATGAACATGGCTTGGCGCCAACCGGGATCCGAGAGGGCCTCACGAGTGGATTTAGGTATAGACACAGAAGAAAGGTGAGAAAGGAAGGCAAAGTAAGGAGAAGATACACGATGATAACTCAAAAAGGTATATATAGGATGAGGGTTACGAGTAGAATGTGCACCTTTCCGGATAGCAATGGGTGCCTTAGTGGGATCAGCATCAGATTGCAATTGAAGTGGTGGAACCGCAGTCGGAGGAGGATAGGGTGGTATGGGTGAGTCAAAAGGAGCCTCAACAGACACAGGGCGTGGACGGCGTTGGTAGACTTGAAGGGGCGGTCAGGAGAATTAGGAGCAGTTGGAGGAATAGGATCTTGGGCAAGAGGAAGTGAACCAAGATAAGGATGAGGGAGAACCTCTGAAATAGAGACTGCGTTACCTGGTGTGGGCTGGAAGAAAGGAGTAGACTCGATAAAGGTGACATCAGCAGACACAAAATGACGATTAAGTTTTGGAGAATAACACCGATAACCCTTTTGGAGCCGGGAATAACCTAAGAAAACACACTTGACAGCTTTAGGGTCCAATTTCGAACGCCCAGGAGTCATGTCATGAACAAAACAGACACACCCAAAAACCCGAGGTGGAAGAGGGAAAAGATCAACGGAAGGATACACAATGGAATATGGGGTTTCATTGTTTAGGACTGAGGATGGCATGTGATTTATCAAGTAACACGCAGTAAGGATAGCATCGGCCCAAAAATGATGAGGAACATGAGAATGAACTAACATAGTGCGAGCAATTTCAACTAAATGTCGATTCTTACGCTCAGCCACCCCATTCTGCTGAGGTGTGTAAACACACGATCGTTGGTGTAACATACCCCGAGAGGTCATATAGGATTGAAAGGGGTTAGAGAGATATTCTTTAGCATTGTCACTACGCAGAACACAAATGGGTTTACCAAATTCAGTTTGTATTTCAACTCAAAAATTTTGAAAAAAAATGGAATAACTCAGAACGATCTTTCATAAGGAACAACCAAGTACACCTAGAATAATCATCTGTAAAAGTGACAAAGTAACGAAACCCCAAAGCAGAATTGACACGACATGGACCCGAAACATCAGTATGAACTAAATAAAAAAGAGACGTAGCCCGATTATTGACTCTCCGTGGAAAGGACATACGTGATTGCTTTCCAAGGTGACACGACTCACAATCTAATGACTCTATAGATAAACCTAGAACCAACCGTCGAAGTCTGGAGAGACTAGGGTAGCCTAAACGACAATTGATAAGCAGGTGAGAATCTTTAGAAGCATAGGTAGCAAAATCACCACCACGGAGGTAATAGAGGCCTTGTGACTCAATCTCAGTGCCAATCACCTTCCCCGTACAACGGTCCTGCACAACAACCGAATCCGCACAAAAGGTTACAGAAAAATTAAGGGTACGGGTGATTTTACTCACAGAGATAAGGTTGAAAGGACTATTAGGAACATATAAAACTGACTTTAAAGGGAAAGATGGCATAGGATGAGCCTGACCAACACCGGCAGCAGGTGTTTGATTACAATTAGCTTAGGTAACCATGGGCAAAGCCTTAGACTTTGTGACATTAGTCATAAGGGATAGGTTACCAGAAATATGGTATGAGGCACCTGTGTCTAGAATTCAAGTATTTGTGTTACTAGCTTGAGAAAGACACAACAGAGAAGACGTACCAACAGCGAGATATGAAGCCATAATACTATTCAAAAGGAAATGGAAAAACTGCCTCAAAGGATGGTTGACCGGCGAGTTCACCGTTGACCGGCGAGTTCACCGGCAGAGATGAGGAAACGGAAAACACAATCTGCAGCATTTCCTCGAGACGAATCCTATTGTGGCAACGGCGTCGGGATCGGAGGTCGGAACAGGGAGATCTGGCCGAAAACAGTGGCGAATCTCGGCGACGGCGGTGGCGCATGGCGGCGGAAGACGGCGACCAGACTTTGGGCTCTGGCTCGCAACGAGGCTCCGGTGAGGCCTGTGGTCTTGGTTTGGGAGAAGAACCACCAGGCAGATGTCGGAAAGCAAAAAACAGTCGCGGCGGCAGTGAACTGCGGTGGCGGCGTCACCACCTGCGGGAAAGAAATGGGAAATATTATTTAGGGTTTAGGCTCTGATACCATGTTGAATAGTAGAAAGATTCATTGTATTCAACTCAAAAGAACTGTACAAAAATCTACTATTTAAATAGGAATATGCTATTAACCTAATGGGCCTATTTCTAAAAGAACCTAGGGTTTCAACACTTTACATAGCATATATACTATGGAAAATGTAAAAACCTAAAAAAAAAAAATTGAAATTACAAAGAGAATATTACAAAGAAAACCTAAAAAACATATTGAAAATCGACCTTTGTTTTCAAAATTTTACTTCATCTTTTGACCAACATTCTGTGAAGTTGTTATTTTCTTCATGTTTTTCCAGAGTTCTTTAACTGTATAATGTGGTGTATCTCTCTCTCTCGCACACACACACACACACACACACACACACACACACACACACACATACTTTTAGTGTACTGGAATCTGAGTGATTTTGTACTAAATGATTGTTTAAATACATCATAGTTGTTATTTTTTTCATGACTGTTTGTCCTTCTTTATCACCTTCCTTGCATGAAACTGAAAGCCTTTTGTAATTCTGACTTGTAAGTACAAAACAAATGCATTCTTACTTTTTTTTTTTTGAATGTTACTAGCTCTATTACATTGTAGTATCTGTTCATATACTTTTTTTTTAATGCATTCTTACTTATAATACAAAAAAAAAAAAAAAAAAAAAAAAACAGTCACGTAAAGGTTTTAAAACTAATTACAATAACCAAAACTAATGTGTAGATCAACTATACAGAATGATCAGAAAATTAACAATTCTTATACAAAACAATGTATCCTTACAAATAAAAAAAAAAAAGTAACAAAGGTTTTAAAACTAATTACAAAAACCAAAACTAATGTGTAGAACAACTATACAGAATGGTCAGAAAATTAACAATTTTTGAATGTGTATGCTCATAATTTCTGTCATTTAGTTTAAATTGTTGGCTTATGATATATGCATTCTATTTTTTTCTAAATAATGCTTATACGAATGAAAGAACAAACTGCATATAGGAATGAATAAAAAAAAAAGTCATCCTGAATAATTAATCAAATTGAAAATTCGCACACAGAAAAATATGTAGAACTCAAATAGGTATGGGAATTCAAATAACTATTGCATAGAGTACTCTGAAGTTGTATGAAGGAATAAAACAAATACGAACGGAAAAGTTAGATACAATAGTTTTTTTTTTTTTTTTTTTTTTTTTTTACATGAACAAACTAATTGAAAGGAAAAAATTCAGACACTCTACAATAAGATATTAACACTACACTGTAAATACAAATATACGCATACATCTAGGTCATTGAACACACGCTCCTTACACTTGATCGATTCACTACCTCTCCTTTTTGGGATTTCATATGTATGCAGGAACTGAACCAAGATAGCCTTGCTAGTCTTCAAAGGGTTGATTTTGCTTACCAGAATGTATAGAGGTGCCATGTTTATGGAAGTTTGAATTCGTATTGATAGCAGAGTGCTTGTATATTGATATGATCTGATGAACTGATGTTTTATGCCTGTAAACGAAAAATATACATATATTGTAATTAATGCTACCGTTCTGGATATCAAATAAGTCATATATGGTGACCATTCGGATAACAAAAAGTTGCGATTGGAAAATCTAAGAGTCGGCTATTCACTCTCAAACGACGCAGTTGCAATTATCAGAAAGCATTAAATGCCATGAAAATTCCAATTTGTGCAAGAAGGAAAAAATAAGTAAACCCTGTACCTCGTTCCAAGCTTTTCTCTCAGTTTGCGCGAAGGGTTTCGGATCTAGATTGGAGGATTTTGTTACTGATTCTTCTCCCTCTATCTCTTCTGGTCTACGCTTTTCTCTCCACCATTTTCTTTGCTTTCATCGACGGGGTGACCTTCGTCACCAAAGATACGGTGAGCTCCGGGGCAACCTCCGGCTCCAGTGAGCTACGTGGCCTGCGATGAATCTTCCAAAGGAACTGACACGTTGGTAAAGGAACTGACATGTAGACCAGACTCCAACAGAGATTTAAAAATCAAATTCCATCTCAACACACACTTTTATTTTAATAAAATTACACGTCACCAAGGTGGACTGGCAACTCGAAGGTAACCTGCTAAAAAAGTTTAACGAACAATTTTAGGAAGTAAGTGTGCCTGATTACAACATATTTTAGATGGTGGGGGAATTGAACACCGCAAATTATGCTGTGCAACCGAATGCACCATGCGCATGGTGCATTCGATGCAAAACAACGTCGTTTTGGTTAAAAAACGCGCGTCCTACTTAAAGAAGAAATCAGGTTCGATTCCCGGCAATAACATTTTTATATATCCATAAATTCATAACTATATATCCATAAATTCATAACTATATATCTACAGTGAATGAATGAAGTAAAAATTCACAACTATATATCCACAGTGAATCAATGAAGTAAAAATCCACAATGAATGAACTAAATATCCACAATGATTGAACTAAATATCCACAATGATTGAAATAAATATCCACAATGAATGAACTAAATATCCATAAATTCATAACTATATATCCAGAAATTCATAACTATATATCCATAGTGAATGAATGAACTAAATATCTACAATGAATGAACTAAATATCCACAATGAATGAACTAAATATCCATAAATTCATAACTATATATCCAGAAATTCTTTACTATATATCTAGAAATTTATAACTATATATCCACAATAATGTTATTGCTGAGAATCGAACCTGAATTTTTTTTTAAGTGAGAAGCGCGTTTTTAGTCAAAACGACGTCGTTTTGCATCTTATGCACCATGCGCATGGTGCATTCGTTTGCACAGCATAACTATTGATTGAACACTTCGAAGTAATAGATGAGCCTATTTGTTTATTTATTTATTTTTTATAACAAAACCCTTATTTTTCATATTTATTTATTTTTTATAAATAAACTTGGTTTCGTACCAAGCTCTTCGATTGGAATTCATTTTCTAAAATTAAATTCCATTTTTCGTGTACAAGATCAATGACTCAGATTTAACCGCACAACTGCACAAAACACACCCAACTGCGCAGGAACTGAATTATATATACATACATACATATATATATATATATATATATATATATATATATATATATATATATATATATATATATATAGTTAAATATATATTATTTAAAAGTTCTTACATAAATAATCTTTTTCGAATGAATAAGTTTTTGGAGTTTTTTTGTGGAGATTTTCAACAAATATCGCCTTGTTATTTTATTTACAAGTTTTATTTAAATACGTTAGTTATTATTTAAATACGTTAGTTATATAATTAAAGTAATTATTTCAAATTAAAATTTCTTTCAAAAAAAATATTTCAAATTTAAATAATAATACAAGTAACAATAAACTTTAAAATCAATATAATAATTGCATAATTAAACTTTTAAAAATATTAAATATTACATTATATAGTTATACTTATATTTTTAATCAAATTAATTCTGTGCTCAAAAACTCCCAAGTACGTTTTTCTGTTTTCACAACCTTTACTTTTTTTGCTAATTCAAAGGATGTCAAAAATTTAATTAGTAAATTAATAATAGTTCGTGCATCGCACGGCACAATTACTAGTTATAATTATGGGGGAGAGAGGACACTACTACAGAATTGGGAATATAAGTTGTACTTCCCACTACACCTTCATGGTGAAGGTATAGTGGAAAGAAAAATGAAAGACTTTCCGAGGCACCAATTACAAAGAGGTGCCACGAAAATAATATTATTATAATAATAATATAGGAATAAGCTACACTCATTAAAAAAGAGTGACACGGATATAATATTATTATAATAATAATATTAGAATCTGTGGCACCACTAGGAAAGGGAGCCGCGGATATAATATTATTATAATAATAATATTGGAATCCGTGACACCACTAGGAAAGGGTGCCGCGGATATAATATTATTGTTGGAAAAAATAGTTTAAAATGGCATAAAATGACATGTTAAGTGGCTATTTTGTGGTACAATTATCAGTGGGGTCCACTTCCAATTTGGGTCGGGTTAAAGTGGATTCGGATTCTTCGTAGTGAGACGAAGAGATCAATCGCGAATCACGAATTGCAAATTGAATCCTCCGTCCGTCCGCCCACCGTCCAGCTCCTCCATTCCTCCAGCTCCGAGCAAAGCAAGTGGGAGAGAGTAGAAAAGCGAAGAGGCGCAATCCTCACAGCTCACTCTCCTCTCCTTCGCCTAATTTTCTCGATCCGATTCGAGCTCAGGTATCAACAGATCGTTCGATCTCCCTGCTTAAGCTCCAATAGTTTTTTGCATACATGCATATATGCTTATAGGTGTTCGTATTTTGCACTAATGTATGATGTAGAGGTAGCTTACTACTTTGATATTGTGAGTCTAGGGTTATGAGGCGTCGCTTTTTATTGTGCTACAGTTTTCGCAGGCATCTTGTTAGTTGAGATCGAGTGGCGATGGCGACATTAGCAGCTCCAGAGGTGGTGACTCAACCGGCGGAAACGCCACAGCGGCTTTTGCGGCGGCGATGGGGTCGGAACCGAAATCGAAAACCGCTGAGATTTTTTTTTAAGGGGGAAAAGGGGTAAAATCACGAAGGACTCTCCAAGCTATACTCTCCCAAGTTCGAAGTCCGAACTCCAAAGTCGTCGGTGTTCTCCGAAGCTGACGCCGTCGCCTGGTCTCGCCTCCTCAGTCCTCACCGGCGCTGCTGCTGCCTGGTAAGTTTTCTCTTTGTTTTTGTTTTTTCGTCCCTTCACTCAGAACACATGTTAGATATAAAGGTTTTCTTCTGTAATTTCACCTTGCAGTAGCAATTTTGACTGTTAGAATGTGTAATTTCACATGTGTGATTAGAATGTGTAATTTCACATGTTTTTTCGTCCCTTCACTCATAACCATTAGAATTTGTGATTAGTTCACATAGTGAGTGCATTAAGAATTTTCTCTCTATTGGAAGTGGAAGAGAGGGGCACTGTATGTATAGTATAAGAGCCTATGGCTGCTAAAAGATTCATTGTTCAAGTGTCCTTATTATTGTCTTCTGTATTTTGTTAAACAGATTTGTATTTTGAGTTTTGACAGATGGTTTACTATTACTCTGGTGGCTTGAAACTGAATCCTAATCTGTACCCCTGTGGAAAAGTCTGCCTCAGCCTTCTGAACACTTGGCCTGGTGAAATTCATGAGAACTGGCAGCCAAAAAAATCACCCATGCTGCAAGTTTTAGTATCTATACAAACTTTAGTTCTAAACGTGAAGCCATTCTTTAATGAGCCTGGATATGAAAATACTTATGTTGGTGTTGTGGGGGAACGAAGGTCCAAAGGTTACAATGAACAAGTGTTTGTCCTCTCCTTGAAAACAATGATGTATACGCTTCGAAGGTCTCCAATGGTATGATCGATCTTCTATACTATACTGATGTTTTTCTTTCTGTTCCCCCTTTTTCATTTCATCAGTTAAATTCCTGTAAACCTCCTGTCACTTCTCCCAATGAACCTGGAAATAATGGGAAGACTCCACTGAAAAATCCATCAATTGACCAGAAGAAGCCACTGGAAACACTCGGTTCTATGCCTCCTCCTCCAAGGTAACATACTTTCCTGCTCTTGTGGTAGCTTTTCAAGTAGACTTTGAATATTTCATCATTTTACTTCCAAAGCATAATCTTCACATTGGAATATTGTTTATCCTTTAACAACATACACTCATACAACAAGAAGCAAAAGATATGTGGGGACCTTTTAGGTCAAAGCATTGAACAACTGAATGATGTTGCAGCTATTAGTGGAGTTAATCTCAGGGTAATTCCTCCCGTTTCAACTACCTGGAACAACAAATCTATAGTTTTTATGAGTTAAGTTCTCTAAGTTACGAATTCAGTATTATAATTTAGTTGCAGATTTTCTTGCCCTACTAAGTGGTTGATTGGTGAGTTCATATTTTGTTTTAATCATAATTTAGTTGCAGATTGGTGAGTTCATATTTTGTTTTAATCATAATTTAGTTGCAGGTTTTCTTGCCCTACTAAGTGGTTGATTTTACAGTGTGTTGAGGTAAGGATGCGTGTACTCATGACTACTTTCATTAGATTCTCAAAATAGGTAAATTTTCATGGTGTTTTATTTCTTTCCTCAGAGAATAGTTATTAACATAGTATTTGTATGCTAACTGGACCATGAAGCATAAAGATGAAGATGGGAAGTCCTTAACTCACCCGGATAAAAGTTCCAGGAAGGTCCCGGTGGTCCCTTAAACAAAGGACCATGAAGTTCTTGGTCTGAAGGTGCTAATTGGTTAGTATTGGTTTGCACTAAGGCAATGCGGCATTATGGAGTAGTTAGTGGTTTGTATAGGCATTATGCCCTTGTGAGGTGACCACTTTTGGGTCACATGTAAAACATTATTTGGGTGGCAATGAATAACTCCTTAAAAAATATTTATTTATTAAATTTTTTCTTTTGACTGTAATTTTTTCTTATATATATATATATATATATATATATATATATATATATATATATATATATATATATATATTTATTTATTTATTTATTTATTTATTTATTTATTTAAAAAAGTGGTAAACCTACACCGGAGCAGGTGCTTCGGAAAGTCCGTATTAAAAAATTAAAAAAAATCATCCTCCGCTTCCCGCTTCTTGCTTTACGGGTGACTCGAAAAGCGGAGGAGAATCACAGTCTCCAAGATCCGAGTCACCTGTACAGGTGACTCGAAAAGTGTTTTATGGGTGACTCTAAAAGTATTTTTTTTTACTAGTGGGAAAACAAAAATGGGGTATTAAGTTATTAATTAATAATAATTTCTTTCAAAAAAAGATATTATTAATATTAATTAACTACTATGATAAAAGAAATTAATTAAATAAAACTATGGCATAGTGAATTGGGAAGTCTAAGCTTGCTGTTGCTTTGAGCTCTTGGGCTTCTTCACAATCATTACGGAACAGTTTGCGTGGTGAGCGCAAAAGTCACTTACACTCCCTAGAACAGCCCTGCAGTGTATCAGTAGGGTGAAGTGACTTGAGTGTTAAATATAATGAAGAAATGAGTATTATAGATTTTAGAGTAATACAAATAAAGAAATTAAATGACGAGCTAGCTAGCGTATGTACCTACATACCTTTTCAAAATTCCATAGCCATGGCTACCCAAGACCAAGAGAGACGCATGGTGTTTGTCAACAGCATCACAGGCCACATTCCTAGCATCGCCATCTACAACATCAAACGCCATATCCATGTCGTTCACCCCTTTCTTTTTACATAGGTCCTTGGCCTTTTCAATCACTTTTGTTGCCGCCCTCTGTAGATCAGCCTCCACCGATTGTAACACGTCACTTGCTCCTGGCCCAGCAAGCCCAATGACGCCGCTAGGGCTAGTCTTAGCATGGACAACGATGATGTTGAAAAGGGAATTGGTGGGAATGATCAAATGATCCAGGGTCCACTCCAGGGCGTAGAAGCTGTGCTCACTGTCGTCTACGGCGAAGATCATCACTTGTTTCTTATTGTCACCCATTATTTTTATTTTAATTAATTTATTTATTTATTAAAAAAAATTTCGTTGATGAGAAAACAGTGGATAATTATTACAGGCTTTATTATAGGTACCCTGTTAAGATTTCTGTGGCTGATGTTGTTTCCTAGGCCGTCAAGAATGCAATACCCACTGATTTGATCTAGCTAGCTGCAGGGCATTGCATGAACTTATAGCTAAGGACTAGTTCTATTTCTACATTATTGCGCCTGCCTGCTTTAAACTTAGTCAACAAAGTAATTAGGTTTTGATGATTTTTATTATAAACAATAGCTACACTGCTACAGTATATTTTTATTTTACAATATATGTACTTGTTCACGCAAGATAACCATAGAGCATTATGCGGTAATGGCCCAATAATCCTTAACCGACAAATTATATCATGAACCATGTTCCAAACTAACGTAATTCTTTTTTAAGTATATCAATTACAGCACTTTTGATTCACGGAAATGAATTTTGAGGTAATAGGATTGCTATTCCATAATGAATGGAATAGGTAAGGAATAGAATAAGAATTATATTCTATTGTTTGGTTCGCATAAGGAATAGACTTTAGGAATTATATTACAGTGTTTGGTTGATTTAAGGAATAGAAATGAAATATGTTTTAAAAGACATAAATACCCTTATAAAAATATGTGATGGTGGTGATGGTGGTGATGGTGGTGGTGGTGGTGGTGGTGGCGATGGTGGTGGTGGTGGTGGTGATGGTGGTGGTGGCGGTGGTGGTGGTGGTGCTGGGGTGGTAGTGGTGGCGATGGTGGTGGCGGTGGTGCTGGGGTGGTGGTGGTGGCGGTGGCAGTGGTGGGGGCGGCGGTGGTGGTGGGTGCGGCGACGGTTGTGGCAATGGTGGTGGTGGTGGAGGCGGTGGCGATGGTGGTGGTGGTGGTGGTGGTGGCGGTGATGGTGCTGTGGTGGCAGTGGAAGTGGGGGCGGCGACGGTTGTGGCGGTGGTGGTGGTGGTGGTGGCGGTGGTGCTCCTGAGTGGTGGTCCTGGTGGCGGCGACGACGACGATGGTGGTGGTGGTGGTGGTGGTGATGGTGGTGGGGGCGACGGTGGTGGTGGGGGCGGCGACGGTTGTGGCGATGGTGGTGGTGGCGGCGGCGGTGATGGTGGTGGTGGCGGCGGCGGCGGTGATGGTGGTGGCGACGACGGTGGTGAAATAGGATAAATTTATATATAGGATAAAAAAATTAGGTTAAAGAAATGGGTAAAAAAGGAAATAGATTCTAAAATCTATTCCTGAGCGTTCAGTAATACGCTAATACCAGGGGGGCCCCTAGTAATAGCTATTACCTTATTTGAGGTAATAGGCTATTACCAGGAATATTATTCCTGGTAATAGAAATGGTTACCAAACAAAGGAATAGGCCTATTACTGGGAATGCTATGCCATTCCCGACCTATTCCGTGAACCAAACGGGCCATTAGTGTATTATATTTAGTAACATCATTATATACAATGTTCATAATATTTGATATATATATATATATATATATATATATATATATATATCGGGAAAATAGCATTTTCCCTGAATTATAAGCAATACTTATAATTCTTTTTTTTTTTTTTTTTTTTTTTTTCTAAAAGTATTCATTTATCCACATTGTTCCTCTAAATAATATATTCAAAATGCTACGATTCTCCTCCAGGCCTTTTCTATAAATAAACATTTTACCCTTAAAAATAATTATTTCATTTATTTTTATTCTCCAACAAAATATTACTTATGCATGTGAATTAGAATAAATGTGAAAAAAAGACACCATTTACAAATACTATAATTATAATTTTAAGTTAATGTTAGCAACAAAATTAAGTTCAAAACAAATATTTCATTAATACTAATTAATTATAACAATAATATTAATGTTACTAGCATTAGAATAAAATTATTTATAATATTTATAAATTGTGTATGATCTTTTTTTGCATTTATTTTTATTTCTATATATAAGTAATAATATATTGAAAAAAATAAATGAAATACTTATTTTTAAGTGTAAAAATGACTATCTAATATAAAAGAAGAGAAAATCGTCACTTTTTAAATAATTGAGGGGCTAATGCAGATACATGAATAATTTAGGAGGAAAGCGCTATTAGCATATAACTAGTAGTTGTACCCGTGCAATGCATGGACATATGATATAGAACAAAGATTAACGGTAGTGAAAAAAAAAGAGTAATAGTATATGAATTAATTATTGAAAAACGATTAACATTGCAATTGTATTACACATTATTGAAAATTTCTTTGTATACGACATTACAGATGGTACATTATTCCCACATATAAAAAAATATGTTTTTATTATTATCTAATATATAATAAAATATGTTAATATTTTCACAATATTATATAATGTTTTTTTTTTTTTGAATGCTACTAGCTCTATTACATTGTAGTATCTGTTCATATACTTTCTCAACCTACTGAAACACAAAGAGCTAATAACGCCTCCACTGAGGCTCGAACTTACAACCTTCCAAATGGAAGTCCAACCCGGGTACCATTAGACCACATAGTCCTGGTCAATATTATATAATGTTAAACATAACATTATATAAGATATAATAATATAAGTGATGGGGTGTGAACCCCGTGGGCTCGGGGCCCAAGAAGAGAAGGTGTCAAGTCCAGAAGAAGAGAGGCTCAAGAGAGATATGGGCCAAACCGAGGGTTCGGCGTGAGTGAGAGGTCCGCGCGAGTAGGAGGTCAACCCGAAGAGAGCCGTTAAGCATTTAAGAGGTCTATTAAAAGGCTCGGTCAACGAGCCGTTGGGAGGCCCAATAACGGCAGCCCAACGGCTCCTGGAGTTAATAGAGTTAATAAGCCCATTTATGGCCTTAAATGTAAGCTTTGAATGATCCAAGAGGTAACCCACTATAAAAGGGGCACCTCAAAGAGTGTAGAGGGACGACGAGAACAGGCCAAGAATACACATATACTTTTAGCTATCATCCTCTTTATTTCTATTCTTGAAAGGTGAATCCACCAACTAAGGTTGTGTTGGACCTCCCTGGGCCCAAAAACCCTAAAACCAACACTGACGCCATCTGTGGAGATGTAACGAAAAGTTACGTTCGCTCTTTGCATCGAGAAAGGAGTCGGAAAGTAAAGTGTGACAGCCCAAAAATCCACATTCAATCCATGGATTAATAGAGTAATTAATCCTATTTCATTTGAGGAATTAATTCCTAAAATCCTGATTTTTAATACTCAAGGACTAGTATTTGACTAGTCAACCTTAAAGTTGTGTTGTATCTTGAGCTTTAAAGGGAGTTCCCTTGTTCCTTACACTTTCTAAGGGTTAGTAAGGGTATTCTTGACCTTTAACCAAGAGTTAGTATTGTAACCTAACCTAGAAGACTTCTTCATTTCATTCCTTACAATTCTTAGAAATTAGCTCTACCTTCTCTCTAGAAAAGAAGTGTAGCTTATTCTCCAAGCCAAGTTGAGACCCTTGTCAAGATTCCAAGATTTGCTTCCAAGATTCAACCTTTCACCTATTTGGGCATCTAGGAGGGTAAGATCTAAGTCCATCTTGTCTTTTTGGTTCCATCTTAGTTGTCTTTTTCTTAAAGGTAGGATCTTTATGATCTTTTGGTTTGATCTTGAAGTGGGTTTGGAAAGTAAGCCTTGTGCGGAGCTTGTTGTGGTGTAAAGTGAAGACTTTTGGTCTACAAGAGGTAACCCATGCTCTACAAAACCTATTTTGCTTACCTATATGTGATTTCTTGAATTCCACTTGTGTTTTGCTATGAAATGTGAGGGTTTATGCATTTGTCTTGTGATATTGCATATCTAGAGCTTGTGTTTAGGTTTCCTTTGTGCCATTGCTTGGCATTTTCCATGGTTCAAGTCATTTTGTTGTGTTGGGTGAG